CAAGCGCAAATTGGGCATTGACGAACACCTGTGCCCGTTTGCGGACCTATCAAATTTCCATTTACAGAGTCGCCAGCGTACTCAGGGTAATCAGCTATGCTGTAAAGAAATTTTTCCTCAAGGTCATACAGTGCAACATCTCCTGCTCATCCGATGGCTTTTTTGTCCCAAAGTGCAAGAAAAGATCAACAAGAGCATCTAACATGAGTACACATATAAAACTGTTGCACGAAAACTCGCAAGGCCGCATAGTGCTCGTATTACAATACAGTGATTAATTATGCTATGGACGAACTTATTGCCACACGAGAACGCGTAAAAAAGCATGACCGCACCAGCACTCTTAGTGCCTGTTCAGACGGAACTTATTGTCGTAATGCTATCTTTCACGCCGTACATTTAATTGAAGAGTTTTGTTTTGCATATGATTGTGGAGAAACACCTCTGTGGCTTTATTGCAGAGTGAAACCAGACGGTGAAGGCTCGGCACCGGTGCTAGTGACCCATAATGACGGCCTGGTATCAATGTCATTTGACTGGCTCTCCAAGCAACTCTACTATGTTGACAATATCAGAAATAGCCTGGAGGTCGTCAAAATATCGGAGCAGGTCAGTCCACTAATCATAAATTTTGTTTGAACTGCTCGGACACCGCGTACATTGACCCCTGTATCTGCAAAGTCAGCAGTACCTTAACCAGCAACAACGCCAAGTGCTCATTCTCATTACCAACCAATCTATTAATTACAAGCATCATTTTTCGGGAACGTCCGAAAGGTCAATTTCTTCCTCGGCCAATGCACTCTCTAGAAAACTTTGTGGCTGCTTCTCGAAGTTAGACGCTTTCATCTAAGCATACACTTCCAGAAACTTAGTTTTTGTAATCTTTCGCAGGGCCTTGTTCATCCAGACCAATTAATTCATCGCCAACTTCTTAATGGCCTACGTGATCCGGTTGCTGTTGCCGTTCATCCGTGGCGTGGAATTTTGTTTTTCGCAGAAGCACAAAGACCTGCGAAAATATATCGATGCAATATTGGTAAGTTCAGGAAAATTTTTGAAAACCTTGACTGTTTGATGCGATTTTCTTCCAGTTTTTCCATTCGTTCGCATTTCCTCGGGTTTGTTTATTCTTTCCTATCACTATTAAAGTTTCATAATTATTAGCACTGGCATTATTACCACTACCCAATCAAATAATATTTTTGCAGATGCGAGCGGTTGCCAAATTATTCGTAACAGCACTCTAGGACGACCATCTAGTTTCGCAATCGATTTTGCCGAGAATCGCCTTTGCTATGGGGATACACTGTTGCGTACGATCAGCTGCATGAATTTTGATGGTACCAACCCATATGTTCTTCCAGTGGATAGTCCGATACCGGTCGCTATTGCAATACTGGGAGGTTCGTAGTACACTCTGCTTTTTCAGATAGCGATGAAGTTTATGCACTAAAACAACAGTTGTAGGAATTGACTGGCTGTTGGCCATTATCACCGTCTTTTTGTTTAGCATTATTCGTGCAATTATCAGTTATTATCGGTTAATTGTTTTTACCTTATCATTTTATTAGTTACTTTTATCCTTATTACAAAGACTTTTATTCTTATTATCGCAAAATCCTTATTATAAAGAATTTTTCTAAAATATTTTTGCTTGCCACAAGATGTCTAGTTGAATGACAAACAGTTAGTAGAATGCTATCGTTACAGTCCTGTCTGTTTTTGCGGAAAACGCGCAGTGCTGGAACTTGATTTTTTGTCATTTAAAAAAAATATGATCAAAAATGCAGGCGCACAATAGGGTTAAGCATACTGGAGCAATGCTTTATCAGTACACCACTCGACTTCTCAAAAATATTTTGGTGTTTTGAGCTGTTAACATTTTATTGCTACACAAATACTTATTGCTATCGCAGCTTTCTATTCTCCGGGAGTTGGATTTGTCCCACTCACGTACTCCTCGTAGAAGCAAAGGTGCATGAGCTTTTTTACAGCCAAATATAAGCTGTTTCAGTTATAAAAGTGCTTTTGATTGTCGAAGGACTCCAGTAAACAGGCATGAATTGATTCACGTTGATCAAGTAGATACGGAGTTAAATTTCGATAAAATTTTATGCAAATTACAGATGAATTATTTTATGTGCACCAAAGGCCGTATTCGATACGACGAGTGAGCAAACGGAACGGTGGCACAGGAAGAATCGTTCGGGAATTTACCGGCGAGGAGAGAAGTGTTTTCTCACTGAAGGTAAAAACAAAATTTTGCACATTATATTTCTCAAAATACCCCCTTATGGCTTTATTTTTGGCATTACTGGCAATGCGATTGTACTGTGAATGGATTGCTTTTCGTTATTCACCATTACTGGGAATGTGAATGAATGGCTGTTTCCAGGGCTATTCTTGATAAGCTCGGAAAAGTTTGAACTTCTGAGTTTACTTTGATATTCTTAACACTTGCTTCGAAGCAAGTAATCAAAGATAGTTTGCAAAGTTTTGAAAATTTTCATAACATCATGCTGCTATTTCGCAGGCCTGTGCTCCAGCGAACCAACCGATACCGGATCCATCAGTCGAGCATCCATGCCACGCAAGCGACTGCCCACAGCTTTGCTTCGCGCTGCCCAATACTTCTTCTTCGTCCGAAGCACAACCGCTCACTAAACGATGCGGATGTCGACAAGGTAAGACAATCACGGGCAATATTACTACGGGAAAAGAGAAGAAGGAGAACTGGGAAGTAATCGTGAGAAAGGAGCAAAAGCGTTGCCTCTTCAGAGAATTCTATACCATTTTTCTCCCATTTTTATTGTAATTCATCTAATATTTTTTCCAGCCTTTTAAATTCTCGTAAATTGCAGTTATTATCATTAAAAAAACTTCCATTGATAAATCTCAGGGTTCAAAATCAATCCTGAAAATATGCGAACATGCCAGCGTGATCCACGTGAAATTATTGAAGTACTGTG